TAGAAAGACGCGGTAAAGGGCAGTAGACAGTTCGCTACAAGATCTTTCAAAATCAATAAGGTCATTTTTTTATCATGTCATCGCTGAGGTCACTGGAGTTTACCAAATGGAAAACTTTCACGAACGTTTGTTTCCGATTTTGACAACGTTTTACAATTCGGCACATAAGTCGGGAACCAATGGGAGCTACAGCGCTGCAGAAAAGCGCATTCGATAGCTCTTTCAAAGGCCTTGCTCAGTAATTATTCTCAGCTTTGACCTAAGGTCAATGGTTTAGCCTCCAGAGGGAAAAACTATCAAAATCTGACGTTATTTTGCGGGAAAAGTTTTTGTATCATAGCTTTTGACTCCAAACTTGCATGACGTTGATTTTACCAGCATCGCGTTTGTTTCGTCGAGACGAGTCGAATGAACTATAAGTTGACCTAAAATGGTCAACTTGAAAAATTTCACTACAGGTAAAGGTCGAGGAAAAGGTCATGTTACATGTCATTCGGTTCGTATTGTTGAGCTGAACACCTTCATAGTGTGTTCATCGCTCTAGCATGTTTTTATCTAAAGCTATTGTCGAAAAACTGTTGGAGACGTTTCATGACCTGAAATGATCTCAGCGGAATTTAAGCAAATTTCACAGGTGCACACAAATCACAGGTGCACAAGTTAAGTAACCACAGGTGCACAAGTTAACCCTCGCCCGTATAGGGGGGGAGGTCGAACGGACCCCTCCCCTCGGTTTTTCGCAAATAACTCGCGTAAAAAGCGGCCGATTGCGACGAAACTTTCAGTACCCTCGCGTTAATCAATTTTACACCTACCCTAAAATTTTCATGACCCTGACCCTAATGACCTTTGACCTGTGACCTACTTTTCGAGACCATGTTTGACCGGAATCGCGATTCGGCGTATGTCGGCTCGCATTAGCGGCGCGTTTGCAGTCTTTTCGTGGTTTTGAGCGTTCAAACATGGGATATGATGTTGCTCCCATGCATTAGGGTGGGTGTCAAGGTCACCGGAAGGTCAGGTCAGGTCATTGACCTTTGATGGCCTCGGTTCTTTTTTTTTAGTTTTACATGTTTCTAGGCCAGTTTTTGGAGCTGTATTCGAATTTAGCAACCATATGAACATTTACGAAGTAGTTTTGGTGCCTTCGTAACATGCTACGAAGCTGTCAGAGGCGGTTGCCACCTACTACGAATACCCTTACTGGTTGACCTGACCTGCACTGACCCGACCTGGCCTAAATGCATGAAGACATCATCTGTGATCAAAACTAACATGATATTCGTGATCAGCACCCCGAAAAACCCCTTAGCAGCCACGCTTTACGACTTTCTAACAGGTCCCGATTTTCCCGACTTTTGGGTCATTGACCTGACCTGGAAGGTCAACCGATGACCTAGAACCTTAAAATTGAGTATCATCGGCTTCCTCTCGTCACGGGCAACACGCTCGTTTTTTTTCCGCGAAGCTCTAGATTGATCAGGAGCGAAACGGCAAGGGGGTCCAACGGCCCCCCCCCCCCCTTATACGTTCGAGGCTGGAAAAACACCAATACGGGCGAGGGTTAACACGCGCAGTGGAAGGGTTCGAGTACTACGCCCAGTGGAAGGGGGGGGGGGCGAATGTTGCCCCCCTAAGATCTCAGCTCCCACTAAAGCTAGAAAGACGAAATTTGGAGGGTAGGTGGGGGCACTGGGGAACTCTGTTGTGTGTGAATTTCATGACCCTAGGTCAATATCTTCAAGGTCAAATGAGGTCAAATGTGGTCAAATCTGCCATATTAGCGACTTTTTTGCGTTTACAAGCCGATAACTCAAAAAGTTACCGTCCGATTTTCCTTTTGCTTTCACTATACGTAAGAACGTACATTTCTGAGTGTGTATAGTGAATTTCAAGTTAATCCAACAATAAATATGGCAGTTAGAAGCCTTCTAAGAGTAAGGTGTCGCCGCCTGAGGCGGGATCGGCCGACGCGGGAAACGCGGCAATCACAATTTTGTGTTTACACGCTCATAATTCAAATTTTTACCGGCCGATTTTCATAATTCTTTCACCATAAGATTGCCTGTACATTTCTTAGTCTTCTCACAAAATTTGACGCGAATCGAACATAATCAGCGGTAACGAGCGGGCGGAGCGTCGAGCGCGATGTAAAGACGGAACTGTCCCGCCCCGGCACAGTCTACAATTCGGGCGGCGCGTAACGGCCGACGCCGGCTGCCGCGGCGCCGCGCCGCCGCGGCGGCAGGCTGTTTGACTTTACACCGCTATTACTAGAAAAGTTGTGAACCGATTTTCTTACTTCTTCCACGAGAAGATCCGCAGTTCAATTCTGGACAGGTGGCCAAAATTTCACGTTGATATTACGTTTACGGCGCGAGTTATCAGCAAAAAAACAGGAGGAGTGGGCGAAATTCGCCCCCCCCCCTTCCACTGCGCGTGTTAACCCGCGCCCTGCTGGGGGGGGGTGTTTGAACACCCCCCCTGTGGTTTTTCGCGAATATCTCAAAAACGGCGGCGCGGAGCGCCGCCGTTTTTGGTACACCTTATCATACATCAATTCTACACATGTTGTGAAAATTTCAGACCAAGGTCATTCAAGGTCAGGCCACCAGGTCACTTGAAGTGACCTCACCTCATAAAAACTTTCAATGTCTGTCATAGCTACACCGAGTGACCGATCGCTTTGAAACTTTCAGCGATTGCTAAGAGCAATAGCATGTACAAAATGTATATCTCAGAATTTTGATATCGATGACCTAAGGTCAGGTCAATTTTGCGACCTCCCCATTATAAGTCAATGGGAGAAAATTGAAATGCGCCTCTTTTGGATGAAAGACGTTATAAACACTCCCAAACACCGAATTACAAGTGGTTTAGACACACTGAACTTGAAAATGGTGTCCGTGACCCTTGTTTATGCCCTGAGGTCATCTTAGGTCACGAATGGTATCTAACAGTTTTTCGCAAATAACTTTTGATAGAGGCATGCTAGAGCGATGAAAACGCCTTAGATGTGTTCAGCTCGACGATACGGATCGACTGATATGCAACATGACCCTTTCCGGTCAGGTCATGACCTTGACCTGAGGTCAAATTTTCAAGTTGACCTTTCAAGGTCAAGTTATAGTTCATTCGATGCGTCTTGACGAGAGGAACACGATGCCGGTAAAAGTAAGCTCGTACAATGCTTGGGTCAAAAGTTATTGCAGAAAAACTGTTTTCGAAAAAATCGACTATTTTTGCAGTTTTTGCCCCCTGCAGGCAAAACCGTTGACGTTAGGTCAAATCTGAGAGAATTACTCAGAAAGGGCGTTAATAGGGCTATCGAATGCGCTTTTCCGCGGCGCTGTAGCTCTATTGGTTCCCGAGTTATGCGTTGGCTTCTTGGAAATTTTCGACATTTGACCTGGAAATCGGCGAAATTTTGCCTTCAATGACCTCTGGTGACCTGACCTTTGACCTGACCAAAAAATTGACCGAAGTGATTTCGTCATTATTTTTTACGCTCTTTCGAACGCCGCCTTCTGCGTATCGCTACGTGGCCCAGGAGCCGAGTTACAAGGGGGGGGTGTTCAAACACCCCCCCAGCAGGGCGTGGAAATCCAGGACCCCCAGCAGGGCGCGGGTTAAGTAACCATACCTCTAAAAAAATGGGATTCTCTCATTCTTACACTTAACATCCCAGAAGTTGGAACCCTGGCTTTTGCATGAGAAATTCAGTATGAACAATTCGCATAACTCAGAATTCTTATATCGGTGACCTAAGGTCAGGTCAATTTTGGGACCTCTTCAGTCTTCATTATAAGTCAATGAGAGAAAATTTAATTGCTCTTTTTATGCCAAAAACACCCTCAAACATCGTAACACAGGTAAACATCACACATGCTGAACCGGAAAATTGTACTTGTGATTTTCCATTTTCAAGGTCATGACCTGATTGGAAAGGGTCATGTTGCATATCGATCGATCCGTATCGTCGAGCTGAGCACATCTAAGGCGTTGACATCGCTCTGGACTGCTTCTATCAAAAGTTATTCGCAAAAAAAAAAACTGTGAGATACCATTCGTGGCCTGAGATGACCTCGGGGCATAAAGAGGGACCATGGGTTCCATTGTAAGTTCAGTGTGTCAGGGCTACTTGTTATTCAGTGTTTCAGAGTGTTTAGAATGACTTTCGCCCAAAGGAGGCGGTTTTGAATTTTCTCCCATTGACTTATACCTAATGGGGAGGTCGGAAAATTGACCTGACCTTAGGTCACCGATATGAAAATTCTGAGAGGTATATTTTGTACATACTTTTGGTTTTATCAATCGCTGAAAGTTTCAAAGCGATCGGTCACTCGGTGTAGCTATGGCAAACATTGAAACATTTTATGAGGTGAGGTCTTTTGAAGCGACCTGGTGACCTGACCTTGATTGACCTTGGTCTGAAATTTTCACAACATGTGAAGTATTGATGTATGATAAGGTGTGCCAAAAACGGCGGCGTATTCGTTTTTCATGAATATCTCGAATTCGAGATATTCGTGAAAAACCGGAGGGGGGTGTTCAAACACCGCCAGCAGGGCGCGTGCTAATCAGTAGTTCACTATAACCTTGAAAATGTTTTGGTTTGAAATATAATATCGGTCGAGACTCGTTACCAAGCTACACCTGCGTCATATTGCATACGGCGTGCCCAATGAGCATTCTGCAATTCGTCCTGGTTCAAATCTGCTCATACTGTTAAAGCAAAAATAACCAGTAAACTCCTAATAAAAAAGAAATATGACCCTAAAGTAGTAATAGAAAAACTGATTGTATACTCCGCTCCCGAAGGTTCGCCATCAGTAATTGCCTGATGGAGGTCCAGGAGCAAAATATGCGACCAGGCTTTATATAAAGGAATGGTTTATTCCATTTTTTTATTATGAGGTCACTGGTTAGTTATCTTCAATCATTTTTATAATGATCTGCGAGCAGAGTTTTTATCATCTAAGGTGCATCAAATTTGTTTATCTTTATCTTTTGTTTATTTTTCGTTTATCAGTTCATTATTACACGTCGAAACAAAACATCACACAGTTACCCAACCATAACATTATCACAAAGGTACCCATATGGAAAACACAAGTCACAGCTCAGTTTAGACATCACGAATCAACGTCCGAACTGATTGCTGGTGGCCTGGTTGCTGGCGAACTGCTGATTTCCGAACAGTCCGATACTCTGTCCGACGTTGCTGCTAGCGCTGTTCAGCGAGGCACCGCCACCGAAAGCAGAACCCTGGAAAAAGAACATTGCACGTTAATGACCTGAACTTTGCACGTTGCCTTGTGTTTTTGTCGAGTTTGTTTTTGAAAAAAAAAACATATACTGGAGTCCTTTGAATGATTTGAAGCGTTGAAAAATATGCACTTCTGAATTTTATTAGCTTGAAGTTGCTTCAATAAAATACTTCATGTAATAAACTTAACGTGGAATTTTAGATGTAGATCCCGCTCGTGGTCGCCAAAGATGAAACACTTATGACAGAATCAGATACTTATAAAATAACTGTAAAACATAACTCTATTTCATTTCACATTACCACAGCTGAGGGGTTTGAGAAAAAAAAAACAACTTACCCCAGCATTGGCAAAGCTGTTCTGGACCTGGCTATTTCCAAAGAGACCACTCGACTGTCCCTGGAAGGAACCAGAGTTGGCTCCTCCAGTGGCACTGCCAAATGGGATTCCAAATTGGGGCTTGGCAGCGACGGCCACCAGCAGGCAGGCGAGAACGACGGCGGTCTTCATGGCGGAAATCTGGAAAGAAGAGACGGTTAAAACGTTTAAATGAGGGAGCTGAAATGTGAGAAACAGGAGCCAGTAACGAGTTTGACACATCGCTTAAGACAATGCCAAGATGAAGAGGCATGTCACTGAATTTTTGCGAAGGGAATTGCACTGCAACGGATATCCGCTTGAAAAATATAGATTCTCATGGCTTTATAAAGGCTACCTGTACATATGGGCTGGCCAACAAACACCGTATAGGTAAGCACTTTGTAAGTAATAGTAAATATTTTGCCAACTTCACTCACCGTTACGCTGGGAGCGTCTACACAACGGTTTGCTCTTGCACTGAGTGATGACAGTCGCTGCTCGGGGTTGTTTTTATATTCAGCCGGTAAGCCGTGGCGGAAAGTCCTTGTGTTCGGAACCTGTCTGCCGGCTCCCAGAATCGTGTAGCAGCGGCCTCCGCGCGAATTATTGCGCGGCATTTGAGTGACACGATTATTGTGTTGAAATTAGTCATATTAAATCAACGGGAATTGTTTTCATGGTTCTAAGTAATCCTGGAAAATCCAGTAAAATTATCAAAGTCATGCTACACACGTGGGAAATGAACTGAAGTGGATCAATAGATGTATAGCCATAGTGGATAGTGTATACGAATAATTACTGAACGAGTTCAGCAGTGCCCGAGTGGGGATATAGGTAAAAAACAGCCACGGGCTGACCTCCTTCGGCATTTTGTCCGTCACCCGATGATGATTTTCTATCTCTCCCTAATGCTAGAGATTCTACATACTCAAGGCCGCCACACACTGGACCTCGCATGCGGGTTGCGAGTTTGCCGGTTTTGAGTTTGCAGGCATATTCATAGAGTGATTAGAGTGATTACTAATTCATAGAGTGATTAGACCGTACCCTTATGGTAACTTCATGAATACAGACACAGTGAAGCCGGTACACCTTATAGTCGCAAAACCAGCGCAACGAACCTAAATTCGACTCTAACGAAAAGCCCGCAAACCTCGCACAACTTGCAGACTTCGCAGCGAGGAAGATCGAAAGTTGACTGAAAATCCACTTTTTTAATAGGATTCAAGGTGGCTCGCAATCTAAAAACATACAGACTCGCTTTTTAGATGGTAGTATAGTATGGGTCACTCAGCTTAGATTGTATGATTTGTTTTTGAAGAAACCCTAAAACCCAAAAACTCGCGACCCGCATGCGAGGTCCATTGAGGGGCGGCCTGAGTCAAAAACCATCGAGAACCTTTCCTGAATTCACTCACAAATGAACCTACCAAGCGACGAATAGCAAGCTTCAAGCAGTTCCCGAAGAGTATTTTGGAGGGAAAAAAGATGTTTTCGTTCATGAAGAAAACAGAACCATCAGGCCAATTACCCAAATGTTGGGAAAGCCCTCTGGTAGAACTTCTTAAAGTACCCGTCCTTCTTATCATTACCTTCTTAAAATACCTGACCTTTGATTCAAGCCGGATCTTTTGACACCAACCGCATTTTTGAGTCAGGTCAGGTCACTGACCTAGGACGTCATAAGTGAACCTCTGCACGGTCTTCAGATGTCGCAACTTCGCAACGCCCTCACTGCCAGAGGAGATGTCACAGGGAAATGAAACTTGCAGGATCTAGTATCCATTATGAGTCTCACAACTTTTATATCTCGGATTTTTCATAAAGGTCATATGAGGTCAGGTCATTTTCGTGACCTCACCATTATAAGTAAATGGGGAAAAATGAAAACTGCTATTCTGGCGCCGGGAACGATCTCCAACTATCTCAAGCACACAGAATCATCGTGATTTGATGCACTCCTTGCAAGGCTATATGCGTCACTTTTGCAATGTTGACCTTGCGTGACGTCATTTATGACGTCATCAAGGTCATATTAGTTTTTCGTCAATAACTCCCGATCAAATTGAGCTAGCGAGTCGGGAAAGCCACCAATGGACTTAGGAAGACCTACCAAATCGAATGATATGGGACATGACCTCTTTCGACCAACTTCGTGACCTGGGGGTGCTGACCTGACCTTGACCTGAGGTCAACACCCTAAGTTGACCTGACCCAAAGAAAAAGTATATCATTCGACGCGCCTAAGCGAGACGAACACGATGCTGCCAAAATCGTGGCTCTGCGGCCATTTTTTGCGAAGTTATTTACCAAAAACTGAACCGTACCTTGGGGCACTTGACCTGACCTCAGAGGTCACCGGTTGACCTAGGACCTTAAAATCGGGTACCAATCTCTGCGTCTCGTAACGGCGCACACGCTCGTTTTTTTCGCGACGCGCTAGCTCCACCAGGGGCGAAACGGCGAGGGGGGTCGTACCCGCCCCCCCCCCCCCCTCGGCCGGCGCGTATGTAGAAAACCAATAGGTCCGGCGAGGGTTAAATTCATGATATGAATATATTTGTTGTAAAAGAGATTTGCTGCAGATTTGGTCAAATTAGGTACATTCTCTAGAAAGTCCGTCGTGAAAACAGCTTAGCCGACTCTTATGTTCCGAAAAAAATATCCAATCGTACGAAACCTCGTCTGCTGGCTGGGTTTGGGTTCATACACAGACCAGACGGGTTAAATGCATGGATTTCTACAGTTTATCACAGAGATTAACTACATCGTCAGCGTTTGAGGGCAGTGGTGGCCAGGGTTTCCCCGCTACACAGAATTCGTCAAACATATCCCGTTAATCCTCTGTCACAGCTGACAAATCAACATTGTTCTATAAATGACGTCACCAGCCGTCGGTATTCTGCGTAGGAATTTTCGTAGCATAAGCAGGCCCACGTTGTCATAACAAGTTTGACTGGTTGTGGCGCGGGAAACCCTGCAGCATGACGACTATATAACCGCGGCTGGCACCAGAGTGGTCATTCAGTCGAGACCTGAGATAGTACAGCACCGTCCGCAACTTAAGGTAAGCATCATATCCCACATCATAGGTACCAAACATTGATAACACAGCTGCCAAATCCACCTTTATTAAGTTGCAGAAAGGTATTTTTATAATGTGTTACATTATAGCTGAGTATGCCGTCGCAAGGATTTAGTGCCCTGGCTAGGATGATCCGTTCTTAGTTATTGAGCTGGTTAAGCACTAGGCAGTTACGAGTTAACTGTTTCACAGTGTTTATCTTAAGTGTTTTCTTTTCGCACGTTTGTGTGTCTCAGAAACCATTCATGTGACTGAATTTGTAACGCCTCCCCTCCCCAGTTTCAGAGCCCTGTCATGAAGGTCGCCGTCGTTCTCGCCTGCCTGCTGGTGGCCGCCGCTGCCAAGCCCCAATTTGGTAGATTTAGACCCGGTGGAGGATTTGGCGGTGCCAATTCTGGATCCACTCAGGGACAGACCAGTGGTCTCTTCGGAAACAGCCAGATTCAGAACAGCTTTGCTAACGCACAGGCGAGTTTCAGTCGGATCTTGTTCTATCTTACAAAAACCATTATATGTAAAAATGTAGTCGGGACATCAGGTCCCGACTATCCCGTCGGGGGTATTTACAGGACCGTGCCGTAAGAAAACAAACCACCTCCGAATTTCAGCATGCTGACAGGAATTCCGTTTTTCCTTTAGGGCTCGGCGTTCGGCGGTGGAGCTTCCTTCAACAGCGCTGGCAGCAACGTGGGTCAGAGCACAGGGATCTTCGGAAGCAATCAGTTCGCCAATAACCAGGCCACCAGCAACCAGTTTGGACGCTAAGCGGATACATTGCTAGACGAAGATCTCGACTAGTGTTTTGTTTTTTACTTCCGTGACTTTGCTAAAATCAAGACATCATTCTTGTTGTTGTGACCACTGCCCATCCATGCTATTTTGATTGTGCAATATACAAATCACAAACAAAATAAAAAAATGTTCTTGAATTTCAAAGGTGGAGAGGAAAAAAAATTTGCAGGGCTAGATCATTCGGCTGTAACCACCAGCAATGACCTGAGCCTTCTAAGCGTGAGGGTGTCCGGCCGAATCGCTATTATTTGAAAAGGCATATTAGGCCGATCCGACGATCTTATACAACCTCAACTTTATTGATAGAAAGGTACCGAAAAAAAAACATCGAAATTGGATATATCCAAACATGAACATCATTGTTGCAGCTAGGTCACATTTCAATCGGAACAGTACTGAGGCTTCATGAGGTCACTTGTGGTAAGTTTTGAATTTTAACCCGTATTGGTGTTTTGCCAGCGTAAAACGTATGGGGGGGGGGAGGGTGAGTTCGTTCTTCCTTGCCATTCGCCATCTGGTGGAGCTAGAGCTTCGGGAAACAAAACGAGCGTATTGCCCGCAACAAGAGGAAGTCGATGATACCCAATTTTAACCTGCGTCCTGGTGGGCCTCTCAGCCAACTTCGCCATGGTGGGGGCCTTTTTTGGCCAGTCCAGTTTATCTCGGAAAGTAAGGAAGCTAGAAAGACGCGGTAAAGGGCAGTAGACAGTTCGCTACAAGATCTTTTAGAATCATGAAGATCATTGTTTGATCAGGTCATCGCTGAGGTCACTGGAGGTTACCAAATGAATAATTTTCACGAACTTTTGTTTCCGATTTTGACAACGTTTTACAAATCGGCGCATAAGTTGGGAACCAATAGGAGCTACAGCGCTGCAGAAAAGCGCATTCGATAGCTCTTTCAAAGGCCTTGCTCAGTAATTATTGTAAAATTTGACCTAAGGTCAATGGTTTAGCCTCCAGAGGAAAAAACTATCAAAATCTGACGTTTTTTTTGCGGGAAATGTTTTTGTATCATAGCTTATGATTCCAAACTTGCATGACGTTGATTTTACCAGCATCGCGTTTGTTTCGTCGAGAGGCGTCAAATGAACTATAAGTTGACCTGAAACGTTCAACTTGATAAATTTCACGACAGGTCAAGGTCGTGGAAAAGGTCATGTTGCATGTCATTCTATTCGTATTGTTGAGCTGAACACCTTCATAGTGTGTTCATCGCTCTAGCATGTTTTTATCTAAAGCTATTGTCGAAAAAACTGTTGGAGACGTTTCATGACCTGAGATGATCTCAGGCGAATTTAAGCAAATTTCACAGGTGCACACAAATCACAGGTGCACAAGTTAACCCGCGCATGACTGGGGTATTTTCCATACCGCGAGTGACTGAGGGGGGGGGGGCTCTCCAGAGCCCTCCCCCTCCTATCTCCGAAACTACTGGGCCGATCGTCAAAATTCAAACGGCGTCTGATAGCCCTGGAAAAACTGTCGAGCGAAGCCTACTTTCATTGGCCTGGAGGTCACCGATGACGTCACAGGTCAGGTCAAAGTAAAAGTTATCGGCATTTTTGCTTGTTTACAATTTAGGCTCTGGCCGACGGCTGACAAGTCCGGTCAGGCTCATTTTTGTTTTACCCACTCCTTGATACCCTGAAGGTACCGAACTCTTACTTCGAATTTTTCAGGTCCGGCCAGGTCATCCTAGGTCACGAAAATTGTATATCATGTATCGGTCACGCGATGCATGTTTTATATTCC